GACAGCCAAAGAGGAGGCGAGAAAGAGAGAGAGAGGGAGAGCGAGATAGACACTTGACATAGACATAGATATGGCTAGAGCTGAAGACGATCTCTTTCGATGATCTGCCATGACCAGTGAAAGCAGAACGTAATCAGAAACACTCAACGCTTCTGATGGAAATAAATAGCTAGTTGAAGTTGGCGGAAAAATTTTGATTTGAATATAGAAGTGGTAATGCACTTCAACTTGTTTATATTATAGATATGCAAACAATATAGATTTATTTCAGATTATTATTACTACCATAAAAATTCCATTTTCAGTATTTGTGGAAAAAAGAATAAAACATTATTTTTTGTATACATATATCTTAGCATATCATAAAGCGACTAAGAGAGAGAGAGAGAGAGAGAGAGAGAGATAGAGAGTGGGAGGGAGAGAGAGACAGGGAGATATTTGATATATAATCTACAGTGATCTATGCTCAATATGTCTGCATCTCAGAGCTGGAATCTTGAATTTGCTGATGTAAGGAAGTAGTCTAAATATTTGTACTTGAATATATGAAAATAATAAATATTAAATAAATAAATAAATAAATGCAAAGCAATTAATGACATTTCTTTATAATTTATATATTCAATATATATTCAATATAATTTATATTAGTATAGATTATATTAAAAATTCTTTCTATGTATATCGCCTTTTATACAATTATTTAACATTTCAACAGACAAAGCTAAATAATATCAAACCAACTCTCTTCTTACATATGTGCATATACAGAAAGGTAAACACAGTATTATCACTCCAAAACAAACTCTAACCATTAAGTCCTCCCACTCTATGGCTTAGCTAAACTACCCCATTGTTAGTGTATCGAAATGCAGAATGATTCCTGCTCCATGAGACAGCGCTCTAATTTGTGTGCATGTAATTATTTCAGGTAACTCGGCAGCGATTTGTCGACGATCCGCAGCGCTCGCCTCCAAGAGTTGGACCCATTTTGGGCGGAGGGCAATGGCAACATATTAAAAGTAAGTGCCACTTAAGTTTTGCCTAAAACTTTGAGAACTTGCGCAAAAACAAAAACCAAAAACAAAAACCAAAAAAAAAAAGAGCTCTAAGTACCGAGCGAGTCAGTCACAGTCACAGAGTCTGGCAGTGAAGTGACTCTACTTGACTTCATGCCACACCATGCCACTCGACTGGGGCACATTTGTAGTTATGGGTCGACGACGTGGATCATTCGAGGCGAAGGGAGTACAGACAGATGGCGAGGCATAGACTCTGTACTCTGTACTATGTGCAATGCAATTTCTAAAACGTGATTCGTGCAAAGACAAAATGCCAGCCTCAGTGGAGCACAACAAAAGACCATTAATATAATTTGTGTCTGGATATTGTGCCACTCTCCAAATTGGCTGCTTTTGCCCCAAAGAGCAGCGAGCGTTCCTCGGCTCGTCCTAAACGATTATGACGGGGGCAGTGCGGCTGCTGTTCGCGGCGGCTTGAATGCTGAGCCAACATGCCACAGTTTTCATATCGCATTGTTTACTCTGCTTGGGCTTCCTTCCCAATTCTCAGTTCTCAGTTCCCAGCTTCCAGTTCCAGATCAAATGGGCCGCTGACACGATCGTGTCGTCGCCCTCGGTTATATAGCGTGGGCGTGTGTGGGCTTTTGCTTTTATTTATTTAGCGGATTCGACGAAATGACCAGACAATTGCCTCGCTGTCGTTTAATTTTTATTGCCAAACATCCGAATTGGGCTTAATATGAACTAATGGCGCAGTAGCCCCCCTCAGGGACAGACAAATCAATATAGACAAATGGACTCACAACAAACCAACAAGCATTACAAGCGTTGGCGTTTGGCTATTTACGTGCCGATTGGAGATGGGGTGGAGGGCTTAACAATGGAGCTGACCGATTCGTAAAAGTCGTGCTAGGGATTCATTCCATAGATTCTCATTTTACTTACTCCGTTTGTGGCACAAGTTCTGTTGCCTTCTCCTCCTTTATAAATAATAATATAAAATAATAATTATAAATAATATAATATAAGTTAATTTCTTATTCCTTCTGTCTTTTTTTCAAGATTATATATTTTTCACATTATCTGTATTGGTCAGGGCTCACATGGCTTTGTCTCTCTCTCTCTGTCTCTCGATCTCTAGCTCTGCCTCTATTTCTTGTTCTATGTCTCTTGTTCTGTCTCTCTCTCGTTCTATCTCTCTCCCTCTCTTGCCCTATTTCTCTCAGTCTCTGTCTCTCAGTCTCTGTACCTTTCTCTCTCTCTCTCTATCAATTCATCTCGCCTGTCTTACATTTTTCAATGATCAAAACTATAATTTTTTCATCGCTCTATCTCTCTCTTTCAATCCACTATTATTATCACTCTCTGTTTCTTCTAGGCGTATCTCAATAGCTGTCTTCATATGCCTCTCTATCTCTTTGATCTCATTTTTTTCTATATCTCTTATCTTCTCTCTCATTTCTTTTATATATCTTGCTCTATTATTCCTTTAATAAGTCTCTCTCTCTCTCTCTCTGTCTCTCTCTCCTTAAATCTTAATCTTGATGAAAACAATAAATCATGTGCTTTATTCAATTACAACAGCAACTATAAATAGTATTTATTGCAAAACTTCTGCCTTTCGCAACTCTCTCCCTGATTTCGGAGTCTTTCTCTTCTGCAACAATTCATCTAGAAAAATCTTCATTTGCTATGCTTACAAAATCTAAAACAAAAATCGCCAACTATAGGAATGTGTCCATCTTAAAGGTGGTCCCATAGCAAGGGCTTATCTGCTTGTCAGCTTCTTCCTTAACTTCGATTCGAAGAACCTTTCAAATGAGGCAACAAATCAGTGACAAGAACAAAACGCTGCGGTTACCAGCGAATTCAGTCATAAACTAACCGTGAGAGAGAGAGAGGGGAACAGGTTCGGCCCTGGCCCTGGTCCGGTCTAGCCTGGCCTGGTATCATAAAGAAAAAGTCTTTATGAGACGCCTGGCTAGATGACAACGTTGCCGGCTGACGGCGATTGCGTTTGATGATAATGAAGACCTTCTCACTTGCGATGATCCGTTGCCTAATGAGGGGAGTCATGGCGGGGATGGGGATGATGGTGAAGGAAAGTGTGGACCACACGCAGTGGGCCAAGAACGTGGCACTTGTGTGCTGTTGCATGTGGCAGGCATGCTGCATGGCATTTATTTTTTTTTTTTTTTGGAAATTTGTTGTTGCTGCTGCAGCGCACTTTCATTTTCAGTGCGCCCCGTCGCATAATTAATTGCGACCGAAAGTGGACAACAATTTGAGCAGCCGTCGCAGAAAGTAAAATGCGCGCCAAAGGAACAACGAACCTGTCCAGCACACAAAAATAAACCGGATCATCAATAGCAGGCCAAGAGCTGGACGCTGGACGCTGGGATGCTGAGAGATGGGTGCTGCATGAAGCTGGGCAACTTTCTTCTTGCTGCGGCTCTGGCTGCTGCTGCTGCTGCTGCTGCTGCTTCTGACACACTAAACTGACGCAACGTGCCGCAACAAGTGCAGAGCATTCGCCACATTTCTGGCTGCCACATGGGACGCCCACGAGACGGCGACGGCGTCGGCTTCCTGCCGAGAAAAAGTGGCAAAGACTGTGGCATAAATGAAAATTAAGCATGTTTATGGCAAGTATGCGAAAAGGTGCAACAAGCATTGATCGGGGGCAGGCTGCCTTGTGCCTTGTTCATGCCTCATTCACACGCATACTTTAGGAGGAGGGAGCGATGGTAGCGCGGGGACAAGGAGGAGGCATGACAGAACCAGTTTAATGGCGCATGAAATTTCACCGAAAAATCAGCGAATCTGCGTCTAGCTAAGGTGGCAAGCGTTGCAGCATTTAGTTGCTGTTGTTGTTGCTGTAGCGGGCGGGAGGCGTGGCACAGCAAGTTGATTTGCTTAAAAGAAATTCACTTTCCTTTGGGTTTTTACATTGTTGTTGTTGTTGTTGTTGTTTTCAAATGCGATCGCCACGCGAAAAGCAAAGGCAAAGAAGGTCACGTCGTTTGAGATCATGAGGATTCGACAAGACCCAGCCGAGTCGCGATTCGAGACTTGCGACTAGCGACTCTAGCGACTCTGTGGAAGCTGGTCAAAGCCAAAAGCCAAAAGCCAGCCCGAGTCTAAGTCTAAGGCTAACAAACCCAAAAAGCAAACACAATTGAATGCAACTTGCATTCGCAATGAGCGAAAAATACTTTTAATGAAAGTTGGCACTTTGCTTTCGGCTGTGTCTCTTCTTTCTCTATCTCCCTCTCTCTCACTCACTTTTTTTCTCACTCGTTTTGGGGGTTTTTCAGATTTTGATTTGTGGCAGGCGACATGGAAAATGACAAGGAAAATGTTGCTTCATTGCATTGTGGCCACGTTTGGCTGACTCCAAAAGAGTCAACGCGCAGTTGGCCAAAAAATGTTTTTCTTTTCTATTTGTTTTTATTTTTTGTAGCCTTTACTAATTGGTTAAAAAAAAAACTCTTGACTTGATTTAATTGGCTTCGAGCTGTTCTAGTTTTTAGCCACGATTGCCTTAAGGTAAAACTGTTGAGGAATTTCTATCTACATAAAAATAAAAATATAAAAATTATAAGTATTATAAATAATTTTTTTTTTATTTATTTTCTACATACACATTTTTGTTTTTTTTTTTAAATATCTATGTTTTATATATTTCTTTAATAATTTTTCTTATATAATATAATATGGGGAGTGCAATATTTATATCAATATTCAATAATCCAAATCTTAATTTTATTTATATTTATTTTTATTTTGCACATTTAATTGTTTGGTTGGCTTGTTTTGGTTGCACTAAAGGTATTAATAAGAAGGTCGTTCAATTTTGGGAAGTTGTGTACTATGAGATCCTTGGGGGCCTGCCTTGAGTGTGTGTGGAAAGTCACCGTCTTAAGTATGTTATGTGTGTTATAAGCATGTTATCACAGTGTTGATGAACAGGGTGTGTGTGAGAGAGGAATGTGGTAGTCTAGCAATGATCCTCCGGCCTATGCATCATCGCCATACGGCCGATTATTATGCATCGCTGACCAGCGGGGCATTTGAGAGAGTGCCCAGAACGGGACGCTTAGCATGAGGACGTGGGGTATCCAGCCAAGGAGGATCTTTTTGCCAGTGGATAGCCGAAACCGGGGTGGTCCACAAACGGGCATGTGGCGACGCACCTGCTGCATCTGGCTGGCATAGCCGGTGCCAACAGCGGTCCTAGCTCCACCGATCCAAGGCTGGCGCCAAGCTTGACCATCGGGCACAGACGTTCGTTTGATGGGCTCCATCAAAAGATTGCTCGAATGTGTAAGATTCATCTTGCTGCGAATTACATAAAATCTATATTAATAATAGAAATAAAATTTAGTAAAATGCAAAACTGGAAAATTCTTTAAAAGATGTTGATAGTAAAATAAAAAAATCATAAAAATGAAAAACAAAATTATAAATTACAAAAGTTTTTTTGTCTAATTTTAGAAAATACAAAATTGGTAAAATCCCATAAAAAAATTTGATAACTAATAAAAAAAACATCATTGATGAAAAATGAAAATAAAATAAATGCAAAAACTAAAATAAATAAATAAAAAAATGATTTTAAAAATTGTAGAAAAAAATGAAAAACTTACTAAAAATTTTAACGCCTCATCGGAGCTGAATCCGAATATCTAATGAAGATTCAGGCGAATGAACACATAGCACAAGGCTTGATGAGTAGTCGAAGCCTACTGAGATTTTGTTTATGACAACAGGAAACATTGCGCAGGGTTCAAATTCGCAACGCGCAAAGGTTAAGTAAGCATTAAAAATGCTAATGAAAGAGTTTCAGCTGGCGACTGTCTGTCGCCGGAGGGGGCTTTCTTTATGCCAGTTTGATTTGCGCACCACAATGTTGCAAATAATAAAACAAAGACAAAATAAATATCCCAAAAAGACGCTGAGAAATTATTACATTTGCCATTGCGTGCGCAAACAATTGACTTTTTTCGCCTCTCGCGACAGCTATCAGCGGCACGAGCAGAGATCAGTTGATTACATAAAAAAAAAAAACAAGCGAAAATGAAATGCACGAGACGACTGTAGGGTCGTCGGAATCAGCCAAAAGCCAGATTATGCATAAGTAGGCTTAATTGTCACTCAACCGCAATTTTCCATAATCAATTTATAGTTATACTATAAAAATAAAGTTGTAGAAACCTTAAGGTTGTTGCATTGGCTAAATCAAGTTCTGCAAACATCGATCACATATTTCAAATGTTCCGCGCGGAGGTAGCTATTGCTATCGGTATTGTCCGACCGCCACAATTGGGTAACAGCTGTTGGGCTATTGTTCAATTAACAGTATCAGATTTAATCATCTATTTGTAAGGAACTTAATTAAAAATTTTATCCAATTTTGTCACAAAGTTAATACTTTATTTGGTTTATCAACTGTAATAGTTCATTTCTTAGGCATTAACATTTCTGCTGCTGTTAAGTATTTAGGGTGCCCATAATTATTTTAGCTGCTGTCGTGCCAAGTTACAAAGGCAACAAAAACCAAAACAATGCAAGACCTGGAAGCTCATAAGGCGCGCATAACGCAGCTCGAGGAATTTATTAATGATGTGCTCAAAGAAGACCTAAATCGTCTCGAACAGTGCCTCAATGAATTCAACGGCGAGATTATGGAGTATGTCCAGCTGAAGAACACGCTGCAAACATTTGGCGAGCACATGCCGGACGGCTACAAAACCCAGATTAATATTGGCAGCAACGTTTTCATGCAAGCGCGGGTGAAAAAAATGGACAAAATACTGGTCAATGTGGGCAAGGAGCTTTTCCTGGAAATGAACATGCAAGAAGCGATCAACTTCAGTGATGTCCGCATCAAAATCTTGACCAAGCAGGCGGACGTAGTTCGCGAGGAAAGCGTGAAGAAGCGCTCACAAATCAAGATGGCGCTGATAGCCATCAGTGAGCGCGAAAAACTGCTGCAACAGCAGCAGGATGAAAAATAGTTAAATATGTTTAACAAATGGGCTTTGGGCGGGTAGTGCTAGAAACGATGTTTTTGTATTTATACTTACATTGATATATCGATATACACAAATGTGAATCTATCGACAGTTAAAAACTCAAACGAAACTACTTAAAAACTACTTGTAAATGAAATACAGATTTCAATTAATCTTACTTATCAAAATGTTAATTTATTTAAAAAATTACAACTGTCAATTTACATCTGTTGGCCAAATGTGTGTTAAAATAAAAAACGCGTATTAAACAGAATTGTAAAAAGTATGAACATCCCAGTATATGCAATAGACCACAACTAGAAGAGAGACGAATTAATGTGATTCTCACAACGTGCTCGATGCTGACTCTGTGCCATTCAATTGGCAGCATTGGCTCGATTCGGTACTTAAATTTTGACTGGACTGCATAGATTTAATAATGGATAAATCCAACGAATTACTCTTCAGCGCTTGACACTGTGCAGAGAGGCGCTGTGCCGTACAGGACATGAACTTCAAGCGATTGGCCATCTGTAAATTAAAGTAGTGAATCAGTCAGAATATTACCAAGTTGATCTTTGTCACTCACTTCGTCGCTCACCGCCTGACTCCTGCATATGACGCTGTCTGGTTGGGGCGAGGCGGGCGTTGGGCACGACGACGTATTAAAGCGCTTATTGACTGCATTCTTAACACGTTGCATCTCCGACTCGAGCTGGGAGTAGTCGCTGTATAGGCGCCGGTACTCCTCGCACAGCCGCTGATTCTCCTCCAGCAACAGATTGATGTGCTCCTCGGCACGCTTCATGCACTGACGCATCGCTTCGTCTGATCGAATTTGCGCATCTTTCCATTTGCGGAACGACTCAATGATCTGTTGCTGCTGCTCGTTTACTTTGGTCTGCTGCCTACAGAGTGGAATTTGATACTGGTTAAGATTCGTTACGGACAACGTTATCGGATCCACCGTACCGCATACATACTTCAGCTTGAGCTGCATCTGCTTGCATTCGTTGGCAACGTCGCGCATTTGTTTCCGGATATCGTCGTTGGCCTGGCACAAACGGTCCAGAGTTTCCTTATGCTGACGCTCCTCCTGCTTCAGATGGCATTGCATGTCGTGCAGCAGGCAGCGTGATTTTTCAAGATCCTGTTCCTTGCACTTCAGCTGCTCGTTCAATGCTCGATCCTTGCCACACAGCTCGGCTTCCCTGTTCTTCAGCGCAGTGATTTCGGCGCGCAGTGAATTCCGCTAGGCCCACAGAACGTATTATATGGCACAATCAATATGGCTTAAGGCTCTATGGCTACTACTCTCACTCACCTCTTCATTGAGCTCCTGCTGGCAGTTTTCCAGCGAGGACAGACACTCCTTCAGTCTTTTCACTTCATTATGCGCTCGCCGCAGCTCCTTGCACTGATCCTCATACATCTGCATTGCGGCTTCATTATTGGCATTTGCCTCCTGTCGCTCGTATTCCTTTGCCTGGAGCAAACTGGTGATTTGCACGACTTTTTGTGACTGTTCACCTGTAGTAGAGATGATATATACATATGTATGTATGTACATAGGCATATAGTATCTGCTTGACAAATGAGACTTACAATTTTCTTGTTTCAGCAAGAAAATTTCTTCTCTGAGCCTGTTGGTCTCATTTAAATCGACGTAACCGGTCTGCAGCTCACAGATTTTAGACTCACGCTCCTGCAAAACGACCCTCAGACTTTCTATTTGACAAACCAGTCGTTCGTTCTGAAATTGGAGTAAAAATTGTAATCGTATATACATACATACATACACATGAAGGATTTTACAGTGCTAAAATGTATATTTATATAAATTCAAATAACAAACAAACAATTTATATAAATTCAAAGTACATTAATTATTGAATGGATTTAAATTTAATCAAGTATTGAATCAGTTTAAAAATAAAATAAAAATAAAAGTAAATTTAACATGGAAAATGTCAAGAAATGAAAGCAGAATGTATGTGAATCTGGAACTATGGTATGTCCAGTTATATAATTTTATCATTATACATTTATCATTAGTTATGATATCAAGAAAACTTCGGAGAATGTAGTCTAATATATAAAAATAATAATAATAAGCAAATTGAAAAATAAAAAGTAAATATATAAATTAGCTCTTGGTAATAAATATTCTGTAATTAAAATAAAAAATAAAAAAAAAAAAACATCATTCATCTATAAAAAGCTCTTATTGTTAGTAAATTCTAACTTGCAGTTCCAGTTCATTTGAGGCAAGTCGTGGCGGCTCCTCATGGGAACTTTGTTCCATTTCCTTTGCCATTTGTTGTTCATCTTGTTGCTGTTGTTGCTGCACCTGTTCGGTTAGCTCCTCGAGGTCACGCCGAAACTCCTCAATAACGCTCAAATAATTATCTCTTGTGGCTTGCAACAGTTCTGCTTGAGTCTGGCAATAAAGCAGCGTGTGCTCCAATTGTCTTCGATGCGGACAATCCTCACCGGGTTCAGCCTACAAATGGCAGAATAGTTCAATCCTGGATAAGCTTAGGCTAAGGCATTGGCTTACCATGTCAAGCCCTGCGCTGACCGATTTCAGATCCCAAACACAATTGATATAAACAACTTTTTCTCTTGCTCCTTATGGTATTTCGATTGTTTGTGGTGTCAAATGATTTTTTGGGTGCCTTCGTGCAGCTCGGCCAAAATATTTATAAATGCATTCATTACCATTCCATTTCAGTCCAATAATATTGCTATTAAAACTTTGTCACGGAAATAAAAGCAAATCACATTTCGTACTTGCGGGTGGCCCCAGCCACTACAAAACACAAAGAGAGAGGAGAGAGAGAAAAAAAAAATTGGTGGCAAAGTTTCACGTTTCCAATTCTTTAGCACTTTCCACTGCTCTGCACTGTCCCGCCCCGCCCCACAACACTCGTTTGTCTGACTTCAATAGTTTTTTTTATAGATATGTATTATGATATTGACTGTTTGACACGGATTTTGGGAATCAACATTCGTGCGTTCGATACGAAATTATATCGTCGAACGCGCTCCAAAGTTGAATCGGTTCGAATGCATGGCTGCGCGCACTTATAACACCTTTAAATGTCGTTTATATGCCCCCACTGGGGGGAAATACGTATATGTATATTTCGTTTAATTTCATGTGAAAATCGATTAGCGAGAAGTTTGTTTTGAAGAAAAGTTTTCAAGACAGAGTAGGTCTTTAATGTTGGATTTATACGATATAAAAATTGGTTTAAAAAAAGTAGTAGCTTACAAAAGTGGTATATATGTATAAATATAGATTTTATTGTGAAAAATAGAGGCCCATTGGAATTTTAATGTGTATTTAATATTTTTTAATTTAATTTTTTTTTTTTTAATATTTAAGTTTCTGGAAAATTTTTTATAGATTTACATAAAAATGTAAAATGTAAATATACATTAAAAAGTCGAACCTTAAATTTTATGTAAAATAATTTTTAAATATACATAAAAATATATGAAATTTTTTATATTTATTGTGTATTAAAAAAAAAAATTTAAAAATTTGTTCAAGCTCCGAACTAGATTTGGGCGTTTTTAAAAGATATCTATCACTTCTATATAGTAGAATATTCTTAGTTTTTGATTTAAAATAAATATTTAAAGTTGATTGATATTTTTTTATGTGAAAATTTTTCTTTACCCAAAAAATCACAGAACTGTGTTCTATGTCAAATTATGTCCCAGACCCTCTACCCCAATACACACACACACACACACACACATGCTGAACAGAGACAATTGATGTATTAATAAAGTTTCGTGTTGCTGTCTGTCGTCAGTCAGCTTCTAAAAATTTCACTCGGCGCCCTTTCGCCCTCTTCGGGCACCTTCATTTGCAGGTATTTACTTTTCAGCTAGCACTTGAAAACAATTTGCACTTTTGACCAAGTTTGTAGTTTTTTTTTCTGTGTTGGCAATCGAAGGATAAACTTTGTTTAATTGCACACGTATCCGTTTGGCATCAGCGACGCGTCCTTCTCGTTGTCCTGCCACCTGGTAAATATTATCGCCTCACCCAGACACTTCACTTCGTTGCCAAAGGAGTGAAGACAGACAGCGAACAATATCGAAGTCGTCGTCCTCTTTAGGAACAAGTTGTGTGCGAGGGGGGCGTGGCAGTTGGCAATGTCTGTTGCGGGTGCAGCTAATTAAGGCACGTAAACTGTTTGTTTTATGTCTTGATTTAGTGTGGCCCGACACCGCTGTTGATTATTATATTTGCCGATTTCATATTTCAGTAGACGGTTTTCGGTATTCCATATTCCGTATTCCGTATTCAGTATTCCGTAACCCGTATTCAGTATTCGGTTTACGGTTTACCCCAACAAGCTTGATTTGTTTCACGCGAATAAACAGCAACGTTGACGTTGAGCGTTGGACTACTCCGGCGACCATTCGGCTGCCTTTGGCTGATAGCTTGCTGTCAGGTTTACTTCTCGCTCGTTCTCTCTCTCTCTCTGTCACTCTCCGTCTCTTTCTCTCGCTCCTCCTCCCACTCTCTCTCTGCTGTCAAGCTCATCGATATGCATATCAGTGCTCGCATAGCTCGCGTGTCGATTGTGGGTAAATAAATAACACGAAACCTATTTCTGCTAGGAGCTAATGTAGAGAGAGGGGTAGGCGGAGACGGGGAGTACAGGGCATAGGGAGCTGGTAGGCAACTTAACCGCTTTTCAGGGCTTACTACGATTGCAGTTGAACTCATCGGAGTACCAAGCGATTTGCATTTGTCCAATAGAGTAAGTCTTCGCTTCGACAGGTTCCAGATTCGTTTTATTTTTCATTTTTGTTTTACAAAATATTCAAGTACATAAATCAAGCGACTCGAATGGACTGTCTGGAACTGCAGCATTATATATGTTTGTGTATATATAAGGATATCGAGTAGCATATATAACAATGGCAATGCAATTTTATTACATATAATGTTTTGTGCATATATATGAGCGAGGGTCTTATGACAAGTTGACAGAAGTGTTCTTCATTTGATATCATAGCTTTTCATTATGAATGAAGAAGAAGAAGAACAACAATTGATTTTGTAGCTCCCTATTGTCATTACAGACTGAAATATTATTCATTTAATTTAATTTAATTTTTATATGTGGATAAAATCTATATTTAAGTGCACTTCGTTCACTGAGACCTAGAACTGGTCCCGACTTACCTTTAATTATATTTGTACTGGGCTGAAATGTAAGATCGGAAAGAAAGCAGGACTGCGAGTAACATAACAAACAACCAAAAAGGAAAGGAGAGCAAGAAAAGCAAACTTAAGAAAATTGAAGAATGAAAAGAAAGGGGTGCAGAAACCGCATATTAAACAAGGCAAACATTTATTGAGAGATCTTAGAAAAGATCTAAGATCTGGCAGCTGCTCTTGATGTAGAGTAAATAAACTGAAAGAAGACATATTAGCTTTAACTGGCCACCTCTTATCTTAACCATAGTCCTGCATTACTTAAAGCTTTACTTTTAAATAGTCTCCATTAATCTCAGACCCAGAAAAAAAACTCTACAATTTCACTTGCTGCTCTCGTTTAAACTACCATTTGCATGTGTAGAGCAAATTCGCTGTTGCACTTGCATATCGAATGATATATGTATATATTACATACTGTATAAATAAGTACATCACATAGTATATCTGCTCCTTGGGCACATAAACAGAAACAAAAGTGCATTCGATTTATTCCGACTCTTGGAATGTTTCGGTTTTTTGGCGGGAACTTGATGTATTATCATTATGGCTGATAGATATGGATACATTCTAGAAGTCTTAGGGCTAAAGTTGAATTTGTAGTTAACGTCAACCTTTTATGCTTATGCTAAAACAGGCGTAGAACCTTAACTAAGTTAAAAACTAACTTAAACTAGGCTTCAGCAGCTTCAGGGGGAACAACAATTGCTGTTGTTGTTGTTGTTGTTATTGGTGTTGTTGTAGGTGTCTTTGTTGTCGGCTATGAATTGTGGGCAGATGCTTGCGGCACGCTGTCGCCGTCCTGCATATACAATCACATTGATAAGGCACCGATTCGAGAATCATCTATCACTCTATATAAATGCATTACTTACGAGTGACTGCAGGTTCTCTGTCTCCGTATTGTTCTCCAGCTGATTTAGTTTCTCATACATTTCCATGATGGCAATGCAAAATGGATTGCCCGACGATTTTTCAGTATAGATCTCCTCATAAGATAGATCACAGCAGCGCTGGCGAATTGAGGGTGAGATAGACAGGGAGTTGGCTTGCATTATATTACTTTGCTTACCAGTTTGGAGAGTAGTTCAGCTATTTCCTTCAATACCTGGCAGTTTTTCTCATTTATAGCACGCACAGCCTCAAAATCAGAAGTGACATTCAAAAGCTCAACTAGACCGATCAGAGATCGGCATAAGCATACATATATACAGATTTATATACATATGTATACGTGTTTATATAAAGCGTGAGTCCTTTCAATACTTACATCGTTGTTGGGCCTCTACCTGTTGGCACCTGCAGTTGAGCTCCTTGTTGCACTGGTTGATCGCTATCAGTCGCCGACGCAGTGCATCGATTAGCTGATTGTCATACTTATCTTCGGGTCGCTGTGTGCTACAAGCTAGAGGCAATTCCAGCTGATCGATACTGCAATCCAATGCTCGCAGCTGTGAGCGCATATTTTCCAATTTGCGCATTGTCTCCATGCGATCGTTGTTCTAGGACGGATGGATGATACCAAATCAAGAAGGATTTCATGTGCACTGTCAGACTGCTAGATGACTTACAATTCGGTCGATGAAACAGGATAGCAGCTTCCGTCTGTACTCCATGGCCTGAAAGTCCTTGGTGCTTATGATATTTATGATTTCGTTCAGCTCCTTGTTCAGCAGGCGCATCAGCTCGTTGGCCTGCTGATCCATCTCGTTGATATTCTCAAACAAACAGCTGTTGCGGTCCATCGTATCGAAGGCCTCCTCATACTGCTTAACTGTTCGTGTTTTGTTGTTCAATTCCTGGGACATATTAGCCAGACAATCTTGCAGTTCCACCAGCTACGGAGCATTAACAGAATGTGAATAGGTAGGTATATGTATATGTAAGTATGTATTGGAAACTAAAATTTTGTTTTTAAAATGTTGCAAGTAAATGAAAAAATTAAAAAAAGTCATTTACAAATGACAGCTTTCACTGCTAAATAAATAAATGTCTAATGAAAAGTTGGCCATGATTTTGTATAATATTTGATTTAATGCTTTGAATAGATATATAGAGATCAATTATTTAAATAAATCGGAATATTTTTTTCCTATTATATTCTTATTATAATATAATATTACCACACTCAGTCAAAAAAAACAAAATCATATCAGCTATGCAGATGGGATTGGCCAATTGGTACGAAAGAAAGCTTAAGACATATTTAGTGGCTTGATCAATGCCCACATTAGATCGTGCCCGAATTGATGGATACGCATTTAAATAATTTTGAAATTATGTAAATAGAATCCGCTAAAATGTTGCTTAGAAATTGCCAAATTTATTTATAAAGCACGGTTAGTGTTTTTTTTTTTTTCAAGTCCATATTTCACAAAATTTTTAAACAATAACGGATTGGGCGGCGAGTTCTTTTGAAAGGCCGTTTGAACATCTTTCTTTGTCAACTAAATTTCTACATTTAGCACTGCCAATCTGCATTTATAGCTACATTTTTCATACATTTCATTAATGGATCACTGCAGCTTTTCAACGATCTGCCAAACCAGTTTTAGATCTAGAGCTAATTAAATTTATAGATACTGATGACCTTCTCATCTCAAGCAATCTTCTTCATAGATAGACCAAGAAACTTATGCAACGTTTCAGCTCTAAGCCTTAAGGATCAAATACGTGATCCATATATACATATATATACATATCCATATTAAAATTGATCAGTTTTTGTCCAAGTATTCCACTTGATAGGAGCTCACCTGCTGATTGAGCTGCGCTATGCATTGATCTTTGAGGATGAGCTTTTGTCGCGCCGTCTGGACCACCTCGTCGAGGGCACACATCTGGGACTGCAGGTGACGGACCTCGTCGTGCTTGGCCGCCATCTCATTGGTCAGAGAGCGCATGTCTTTGGTTACCTGTAATCAAATAATGCCAATCAGAAATCGAAATACGATGCTTTCGCAGAGATAACAAAAACGAGACAAAATTTATTTCAACAATTAATGAAATTTGAGCAGCACCCACACACACACAACAACAACAACAAAACAGAATAAATAATAAAAACACAAAAACAAAGTCAAATGCAAATCAATTATGTAACAATTATAGGCGATTGGATTCCTCGAATATGATTTGATCGGAATATGAAATGCGAGACTTCTGTGCATTAGAGCATCCGGCCTTCTAGAAGAACACAAGATGATGATGTGAGACACGCCCCTAGCAGCCCCTGTGGGATATTAGGTGCTTCGATTGAAAAAACTTACTTTCTCGCTTTCGCTCTCCGGTCGTGCCTGATCCGCCTGTATGCCCAATAGCTGATTCACCGTCAACGTCTCCAGGCACATGTCGTCCGTGTTCCAGGTATTGTGATGGAAGGCGTGCTGCACCAGCTTTATAATGGCGCACATATCCTTGCGCAGCTTGCGATTCTCATCCTGCGCCTGTTGCTGCTCACCGCGCACCGATCGGAAACAGTTCATGATCTTCTCGTACGCCTCCACCTCCATGGCGGTCATATTGCCAAAGATAATGTAGTTGACATGCAGCAGTAGATCGACCCAATCCTGAAATGTGGCCAGCCGCAGTGTGGCAAATTTCTGGAAAATCGGAGCGGAAATTGTATTCAGGAACTCAAGGAAATAATTTAAATTTCTCTCTATTGCCATAGCACACCACCTTCTACCTCTAATACCCACCGAATCGCCGCCGCATTCCTCATCGAGGCAATCGATCTCCTTGAGTCGATCTAGGAATAGGTTATTCAGCTCAAAGTTCGTGACGGCCGCATCGCCGCAAATGGAGCGCAGCTTCTCCAGCTGGTTGTGGTAGTGCTCGGTGGCTGTGAGCGTCAAGCCAGACTTGCTCTGGACACTGCCGCATCCAACGGACGATTCACATCCGCCCGACAGGCTGAACGCCGCATAGTGCCTGCATATGTGTGGCAGGTCTTTTACGGTGGGGTGTGCATGTGGTGCTTGTGGTGCTGAGCGTGGCTGCGGTGCTGTCGCCGCTGGTATTGGCTGTGCTTGATCTTTTGGCCCCTCCTCCTTTGGCTGCTTCTTAGACTCATCCAATGGCTCGTTTGGCTTTTCATTTTGTTGCTTTGCCTGCTCTTCACACTTCTCTTCCTCCCGCTCCTGCGCTTGCTGCTGCTTCTGGTCCTTCTTGTCCGGCTGCCTATCTAACTCCGGGGGCGGATCACGCGGCGATGATGGCTGCGACGCGGACAGACCCATTGTGGTGGCATTTAGGCAAAAAACTCCTCGTTGGCTCATTACGAAAACCCTTTTCTTCAATTTTTCTTGTACTACCAAAACAAAAGTAAACAATTTCCGCGAAAGCAAAAAAAAAAAAAAAAATTTCTTCAAGTTTAAAATAATGCCAATTTGTTGTTGAATTTTAGCCTAGAATCGCTTGTGTAATTAGGCCAAGTGTTCTAGTCTGGTTCGGATCAAAAAGTGAATGGAGACAGTCTCCAAGGCATTGCTAATGCCGTCTGGGCCTGCTACGATTCGATCCGATTTCAATTCCAAAACACACAAATGCAGTTTTCCTCACTGCGAAATCACGCTTCACTCTAAGGTCACTAACTTTACACACGCAACCGTTAAAAAAATACAACAAATAATACAAAAAATGAAACAATAACAATAACAACGGCGCAACGCAACAAATGTTAATAAAAAATCGGAAAAAATTATATTTATTCGATTCACCTAACGTTCAGGCGAACCTTGGCTGCGACGCTGACGTCGTTGTGGGCTGCGACTGCGACGGCGACTGCGGCGTCGGCGTGTTCATATCTTTTGTTTGCCGTCTTCTGACGTAGTTGTGTTTATTTTCATAAGTATTCTACATATGTACATATATCAAAAAAGTACATGTATGTATGTAAATTATTTTCATGTATGTATATATATATACATATATATATTTATATATTTGTTTTGCTAGACACACACACACACACACACACAAATGAGCACGCGAACAAATGGTTTCGGCTTTCAGCAGCTTTTAGTTTTGGATACGGTCTCCACTTCTGTCGCTGTTGCTATTGTTGTTGTTGTTGTTGATGTTGTTGTCGATGTTTAGCTCTTAGCTCCGATCGGTGGTATTCCACAGTTTCAACTCGAATTCTGCGACCGCTGCGCTTGCTGAACGGATGGCAACTGAGCGAGCCGACGAATACAACTGAAATATTGTGCGTCTAAAGTGCACACAAGCTGCCAGTAAGGCAATATCACAGGCAGATACCCTGTAATGCAAATGAGTGGTAGGGCATATGCAATTAAGGGCAAATTATGATTCGAATGAGGTGGAACCTTTCTGGTTATGTAGACAGTCGTAACAATAACGGTTGCTTTGTGGTAGATGATCAATTTTGAAATCCTTGAACCCACAAACAAAATAAGACATATACATATATGTATATACATATATATATTGCTTTTATAAACTAGACAAATCAATTAGCACTTGGACTACTTGAAAATATCGATAATAATTGAAAGAAAAATATTCCACATTCAGGATCCCCAAGTATTGCAGCAATATATTTTTTGAGTTTACTGGAACCCGGTTATTTTACAAATAATGTAAATTTAATGTAATATTAATTATAGTAAATGTTAGCAAAAAGGCAGCTATATATGTATATAGATTTATAGATTTAGCATGAAAGATACATGGTATCATCATCATCATGTTATTTAAATACAAAATAATTATTAAACAGAATAAACTAAATAACTTTATAAACAGCTTGAAGTAGTAGTATATTATTTAACAACAATATTCAGTCAACTACAGGGTAATCAACAGTCAACTACTAGCGCCGCTTAACTTTGCTTTGCTTTTGTTTAGCAAGGCTCCATTGGAGCGGCTGCGAATGCGTCTCTCTCTCTTTCTCTCCCGCTCGTTCGCTTGCTCTTGCTCTCCGCGTCTGGCTGCGGCCGCCAAGACACACGCGCTGAGGCTTGGCCTTATCAGTGCGTCAGATCGAATCGAACTCGATCGGATCAGCATCAGCATCAGCATCTTAACTGAAATCGACGCCGCTGCTTTTGTTCCCGTCGCGACGCGTCGCCGGTGTCAGTGTCTGAGTGTTTACCGAACAACTTGGCGTATTTATTTTCAAAATCAAAAAGCCAAATCATTTCTATTTGCGCAGCTTCGTGCCATTTAGGCGGGCCAGGCCGAGTCGGGTGGTTGGCACGAAAGTTGGCCAATTTAATTGATAAATAATTAGAATTTACCTATCTATTTGCCAGTTAGATAACTTTATTTGCAACAAAAGAAATACGAGTTTACTTTGCCGGTGCACGATTTGCAAATACCCTGTAAGAAAAAATATATGTATATATGCCTATAAACTGTCCAATGATCCTCGTTGCCTTATTCTTTCTAAATCGAAGTTGCATATCGAAACACTTAAGATATTTCGATCTAATGGCATGCATTTTATGGATCCATTTAGATAAGCTATAAATAACGGCATCTCTTAGTCTCTAAAGGCAGCGCGATAAACCGATGCGACTTGATTGATAAAAAGCACTAAGTGTATAGAGCTCGTATATCATTTATGTTATACTGGTTATAAAATCATAGATAGGCAAACACAACTACAAAACAAATTTGATAAGACATTCCTTGGAATAAAGTAATTCAATATAATAAATACGGGCTTTACATTTTGTCTACAGATTAAGTTGAATGCATAAACTTAAGTTAGAAAATTCATTACCGAAAAAATTCAATAAATTTATTTCGAGTTTTGCTGAATAAAAGCCAATCTAAATGAAACGAATTCTATTTTTGATACTTCCTTAGGTAAATTGCAAATATACAAATGAATCTATTTTGAATAGATCAGACAATAGAAGTTTCCGCAACGATTCTAGTTTATTGCCTTATTTTACAGTAATTCCACAAATAACACGTACAAATGTACATTTTAACGCTCAAATACGTTTTATTTGTATATATACATACACATATGTGCATATACATATATATCAATTAATATATATTATTTTCATTTTTTCCATACATCAGAACAAAAATTTATGTACAATGGTTTTTAATACGCCTGGTTGCTCTATTCACTTCAAGCATACACGCTTATAATATTTATTTAATGGACTCACACATCAATTTGCAAATAAGTTTTTTCGTACGTTTTCTCTTACTATTAAAATTTTCAAAAATGAATAATAACACAGAAGTGTGCATAAATAAAATTATAGAAAGTATAAAAAAAACCGGCTGAATATATGGTGGCTGGTATTGGTATTGACATGTGTTCATGTGTTCCTAGGCTATACGAACTAAAACAACTTTTATACACCTATATAGTTTTTTGTTTTGTTTATAAAGCCTGCTCACGTATATTATGTGCAGTTATGTATATATAAAAATCGATTTTAAAATGTCTTTTTAACTTTAAACTCTGTTCACATGAATCTCAAATATTTAGCGTTTTTTCTTAAGGTTTCAATTTAGTGTTGAATTTTTGCTTTTATCTTTAGTTTTTAATTACTTTTTTATGAAGAGGCGAAAGTTGCGTAAAAATGTACATGAAACGCTCACTAAATTTATTATTCATTTAGAAATTTATTATTTTAGCTATATTTATACGGCTGCTTAGAAATAATTTTTGCATTATGCATTAATTCTTAAGTTTGCTTCGCTTACGCTTCTCCATCCAAGTAGTGTGTATGTGTGAGTGAGTGAGTATGTACGTATGTGAGTGTGAGAGTGTGTGTTTATGGGCTTATACTATACATATTGTTGTAGCTAAATCGTAAACGTGTGTTGGCGCACATTTTGTGCCTCGAAACAGAATTAACATAGAGTTAGTGTGTGAGATGAATATTCGTGTAAAATAAATCGCAAGGAATTTAGAGAATAGTCGAAATTATATTATGGATAGCAATGGCATTAGAGAGAGAAAGAAGGAGAGCTGCATAACCATCTATAGATTAGCAATAACTGTTCAATTTTGAATGTCAGGCTTACAAATTTCGCACTTGTCTATTCTATTTAACATCTTGGTCAAAATATATGATTCCAGCTTGGGATGCTCGTGGTTGCATTGGCGCTTAATTGAGTTGTTGATAGTTGAGTGTTACCGATTAATTGCGAATTGATAAAAGTTGAAAATGGATGGAGGGGAGTTGGGCTTGGAGGGGGGAGCGGAGTAGATGGGGAGGGATGTGAGGAGTGATGATGGGGCCACAGTTCCTCGTGTATAGTTGTTGGCTTTCGATTGCAAAATGATGAGTGATGCGAACACTCTATTTAGGCCAAGTAAATGTACACTTTACGATCCTCTGGCGTTCGCGCCAGGTATTCACGCTCGATCAGACCTTCGATGCGCTTCTTAATGAACACAGGCGAAGGCAAGAAACGTGATTTTAACTGCGACGTAACGTCCGAGACAAGCAGATTGTGCTATAAATAATGCAAAATGGAAAGATTGTAAATTGCGATTAGTTGTAATCATCAAATGCAAATAGTTGACTGATTAAATGAATTACCGCCATGCGTTTGCGCGCCTTCATAATCCGCACAATAGCCGCCTCGATTTCGTGTTTGCGATCCTCATCCACCTTGCCACGCGTCTCCTTGCGTTCCGGCTCTGATTCACCCTTGGCAGCGACCGTTTGGATCTTTACCCTACAAGAGTTGAAAGATAATATGATATAAAGCTTTCCTCATTCATATTTCAAATGAGAATACGCACCTGTGGAACTTGGAGACAAATGCATCGTTCACATAAAACTCGTCCGAGGGCTCAATGTCCTTTGTTTTCGTTTTTGAGTTGCGCACCAGCAATCGCTGCGCTGGCTTGCCCATGGACAAAGATTGCAAGGCACGGACCAACTCACGCTCGGGTATATCCGTCTCTTGGTGTATGTCATCATAGGTCAGTAAATCCCGATTGTTAAACAACAACAAAACGCACATCTATAATGCAGAATCAAGATTAATTGCGAACTATATAGAGAGCTAGCCGAGTTGCTTACTTGATAGGTGGACACTTGTAATATATGCTTGCGTGTTGTGGTGGGCACAGGACAGCCACTTGAACTTGAGCTTGGCCCATCCTTGTCCTTGTCGCTGTCATTCGCTTTGCGGCCATAGAAAACGGCGTTGATGTAGGCAGTGCCTGTAGCGAAATCAACAAGCTGTTAGCGCGAATTGCACAGATGTTATTTATAATGATGCTGACATACCCATCTGCGGCTGTAACGTCAGCTGCCGACCCGAGTGCTTGTCCAGGTAGAATTTCTTAAACACCTCAAAGGCCTCGCGCGGTGCTGAGGGTATGTTGCAATTGGGCGTTGCCGTCTATAAATAAACCAAATATGGAATATGTGAATTGATGAACAGAGTAAATGAGGCACAGAGAGAGGGAGATGGAGAGAGTTGGGTAATCACCTGAGTGGGCCAAAATCCGGTGGTTAATATGCGCACCGTCAGCTCCACGCCGCTCAATGACAAACTGTTATTATTTACATAACTTTTGAATTCATCCATAATCGTATTGGACACAGACATGTCCTTAAACATGCCCTCCAGTTTTGATGTAAATTGACAGCCACATTCAGTCTTCAACAGGTGAAGGGAAAGCAGATAAGTGAAGGCTTTTCAAGTGTGAGTTCGATTCTTCTCACTCACCTTTAGTTTGGATATCATATTCTTCTCAAAGTCATCGGAGACCGATTTGTTGAGCAGCAAACGTTTGGCCAAATGCGTCTTGTAATAGCGCTCAAAGACATCTTTTTCAAGTAGAAATCGGAAGAGAACCATCGTTTTATCCAAAATAGTTTCAAT